TCTCCTGGTGCTCCTCATATCTCTCCCAGCGCTCTTTCAGTGTTTCTTTCTCTGGCTCTGCTTCTTCTCCCCAACTCCTGTCTGTTGGTGTCCCCCAAGGTTGAGTCCCCTACTGTTCTCCATCTAAACTGCCTCCCTTGGTAAACTCATTAGCTCTTTTGGCTTCCAATATCATTTCTATGCAGATGACACGCAAATCTACCTGTTCTCTCCTGATCTCTCCCCGTCCCTCTTGACTAGTGTCTCTGACTGCCTCTCTGCTGTTTCTAACTGGATGGCTGCCCACTAAACTTGACCAAAACTGAAATTCTGGTCTTTCCTCCCTCAAGTGTTGTTACTCCTGTGTCTGTCTCCCTCCAAGTCAACGGTGCTACCATCAGCTCCACCATGCAGGCTCTTTGACTCCGACCTCTCCTTCAAGCCTCATGTTCAATCTATCGCCAAATCCTGTCATTTCCATCTCAAAAACATTGCGTGTATCCGTCCTTACTTAACACCAGATGCGACTAAGGTGTTGGTCCATTCCACTGTCCTTTCTCGCCTTGACTACTGTAATCCGCTTCTCAGTGGTCTTACGTGCTCCCAACTTGTGCCGTTACAGTCCATAATGAATGCGGCGGAAAGGCTCATCTTCCTGTCCGCATGCACCTACCATGCCTCACCCTTCTGTCAGTCCCTACATTGGCTTCCTATAAAATATAGAGTTCAATTTAAAATTCTGGTTCTTGCTTTCAAATCTCTACACCTATCTATCCTCCCTTATACACAAGTATGTCCCGTCTAGGCCCTTACGATCTGCTGAAGACTTACGTCTATCTTCTGTCCGTACTCCCACCTCTGATGCTCGCCTTCAAGATTTCTTGAGGGCTACACCATTCCTGTGGAACTCGCTTCCCTCCTCCGTTAGATGCTCACCCAGTCTCCACTCCTTCAAAAATCGTTAAAAACCCACTTCTTCATAAAAGCGTATCAATTAAACTGTTAATAGCTCCTGACTGATTCCTCCTCTGCAACTGTCACTAGTCTAATACTATCCTTACCTTTTTGTGTCATTTTACCCCACTCCCTCTAGCATGTAAGCTCATTGAGCAGGGCCCTCAACCTCTCTGTTCCTGTGTGTCCAACTTGTCTGGTTACAACTACATGTCTGTTCGTTCACCAATTGTAAAGCGCTGCGGAATTTGACGGCGCTCTAAAAATATCATAATAATAATAATAATAATAACTGATGCTGGATGTCCTCACACTATGCATGGGGATGTTCCACATCACTCAAAACCCCATAGAAAAGCATTGAATAATGGTTTCCTATGGGGAAATCCTAATGAGAGTGCAGCCATTGCCACTCATGTGCATTAGGTCTCTCTCCCCTGACGTCGACAAGTGAGAAGAGAAGGCAGACACAAGTCACTGGAGGCATCGAAGGGACATCGGCGCTGGACCCAGGTACGTGACAGAAGGTTTTTTTTAACGGGACTTGGCAGAGGGGGAAACTATAGTGCTAGGACAATTAATTTGTTTTCCTGGCACTATAGTTTCCCTTTAAGTCCTTTGAGTGCTCTCTTCCAAGCTTAATTTATCCAGGCCAGAGTTCTATGCACCAAAGCACAAAGCACAGCAGGCAGAGAGTGCAAGCATATTTAAAAATGGCAAAAATACAAATAATTAAAAAAAAAGAAGCCTATATATTTGTTTATTTATTATTTTTTTCGTTCTTAACCCTTATGCAAATTTTATGTGTTGAAGATTACAGATCACGAATCACAGCCATAATGTATGACTGTCAGTAGAAATGATGATGTAACCTAAAGACAGGGAATAAATCGCAGCAATAATAAATCAGGGTTGCAAAGCACGGGGTGTCATTGTGAAGGAAATAAATAACAACTAGCGCTAATTTGACTTGTGAAGGGTGACATGTCCAGCTAAGCGTTCAAGAAATAACAAATGGAATCAAGGCCTGGTGGACAATTAATCTAATGAAGGATAATATTACTGTTTGGAATGAATAAACAAAAACTCAGTGAATTTGATTGGTGAAGGTTGATTTGCCAGAGTAACAACCACTCCACATCAGGAACACCATATCTAAAGCTGCACTCTAGTGCTCCACACTCCTCTTTTATCGCCCTCATTGGCTTAAGATAAAATCGGAAAAAAAGTATAACTTTCAAAATTCCAGGTATGTCTGATTTCAAATCATGTATGTATGACTGTAACGTGATTGAATAGAGAGCTCACGCTGTGTATGTGCATTTTTTAGGATGCTTGAATTTTGCCCATATGTCAGCAAAAGTCAGGTAGCGAAAATTTGAACCAAAAGGGTGCCAAAAATGGACCAGTGTACTGCAAAATTATACATGTTTGAAGTACTTTGTTAGGATTTTTTAGCATTTCGGCGACATTTCGTTTACAGATTATCTTAAAAAAAAGTAACAGTAACAGATTGAAAAACAGCAGGACCGATAAAAAAAACAACTATATTCATATATTTATTAAATGTATAATATGTAAATATTAATATATATATATATATATTTTTTTTTTTTTACTGCTCCTCTTTTTTTACCTCCATTGCTCACTTGATCTGTGAATGAATTCAACATTAAGTGACAGTCCCTTAGCATCAACCATCTTTTTTCCCAATCAATCATCTCTTTTTTTTTTGGCACTACGGGCATAATTCAGAATCACAAATCAAAACAAAAATGTTCAGCTTCACGTGGCTCGTTTGGTTTGTGATTCAGGTATTTTCCAATTCTGATAATGTTTGCTTGGTCCGACTTTTGCATACTGACCATGAATTGATTTTGTGGATTAATCCTTTCATTGTCTCAGCCCTTCATTGATTACTTACCTTGGATACCTGCTTTATCTTACAGATACAGTCCCTGTTACAGTCACACATTTAAGTGTAAATTATTATTTCACAAAATAGCTAACAAATATGTATTCCACCAAATAGCTAACAAATATGTCTTCCAGCAATAGCCAAATTTTGTAGCCATGATGATTGTTTTCCCCCAAAACATAAAAAACTAACTCAAATTCACAGAAAAGAGCCTACAAATACCTAAACAAGAGACGGGGAGGACAACTTGGCCCTCCATTTGTGTGTGCCAACCCACAGTGCAAATTTGTTTTTGTACACAGACTTCCGATATATTTCAAAGATTCTCCATCTTTTACACCCTTCATGGATTTTTATTTGATCTTCTGTGCACTATGTCTCTCCTAAACCAATTAAAGTTTTCTCCTTAGATTACCTACCTTTGCTGTTGCTGAAGAGAAATTAGAATAAGAAAAAAAATTAACTTGTTTAGTGATACTTTGTAGAAATCAAAAACCATTTTTTTTTTGTGTGTGTGTTTTTCATTTTGGCTGAGACATTTTGCTCTCCCTGCTAACAGCATTACAAAATCACAACTTGTTCCATTGAGAATGTTTTTTTTTTTTACTACTTTCTTGAACTTTATTTAATAAAGTTATTAAATCCCTTAAATATATTTTAAGGCTTCTGTCATTTCTCTACTCCATGATAAATGTATTACAGTCATGAAATCTTCAGAGATATATTTTGTTATTTAAACGATGCATCATTTTAGTGGTTCCTACGAGATACTATTATTTTCTGTTCTTGAGAATATTTTTATCTGGCTAAAAATGCCAGGTTACTAAGATGGGAAATAATGGAGAATGGGAGATGAGAAGTACTTAGGGTTATGGGAAGCTGTGTCTTTTTCGGATAAAAGGAAAAATATTAACATTTTAAATTATGGCTCTTGGTTCTACAACATTCTTTTACAAAAGCTGTGAAATGTCAACAACTGTACACATAAAGAAATAAACAAACAATTAGTCACCCATATAAACCAAAGTGGCCCCAACACAGTCAACATAGATGAGAAAGGTCTAACCCTCTAAAAACATTTGAGTCTCAAAAAGGATCAAAGCTTAAAAAAAATCCCTTGAAAACAAAACCTTTATTTAGTATATCAGTTAAAAATGTTAATCAAAGCACACAAAAAATAAAATACAAATACAAATGTACAAAACAAATGTGATATGTGAACATTGACATATGAGAAACTATATATGGGGAGGCGGGGGGCAGCAGGGGGGTTTATGAAATTGCTATCAGACTAACTTCATAACTTAAGTATAACACATAGACTGTGAATGCAGGCCTATGAACTTAACCCCTTAAGGACCAAACTTCTGGAATAAAAGGGAATCATGACATGTCACACATGTCATGTGTCCTTAAGGGGTTAAAGGGACACTATAGAAGCAGTTTTGGTGTGTAGATCAAGTCCCTGCAGTCCCGCAGCTCCATTTTATGCCATTTAGGAGTTAAGTAGGGATGTGCATGGGAAAAATATTCGGTTCGGCATTCTGAAATTCAGGACTTCGGCACTTTGGAACTTCAGCACTTCGGGACTTCGGTTCAGAACTTCGGCACTTCGACACTTCGGAACATTGGAACTTCGGCACTTCGGAAACTTCGGAACTTCAGGACTTCAGGACTTCGGCACTTTGGGACTTGGGGTAAGTGTAGGGTTAGGGTAGGTTTAGGGGTAGGGTTAGGGTAGGGGTAGGGTAGGGTTAGGGTAGGGTTAGGGTAGGGTTGAGGGTAGGGTTAGGGTAGGGTTAGGCGTAGGGTTAGGTTAGGGGTTGGGTTAGGGTTGGTTTAGGAGTAGGGTTAGGGGTAGGGTTGTGGTAGGGTTGTGGTAGGGTTAGGGTAGGGTTAGGGTAGGGTTGAGGGTAGGGTTAGGGTAGGGTTGGAAGTAGGGTTAGGGTAGGGTTAGGCGTAGGGTTAGGTTAGGGGTTGGGTTAGGGTTGGTTTAGGAGTAGGGTTAGGGGTAGGGTTAGAGGTAGGGTTGCGGTAGGGTTGTGGTAGGGTTAGGACAGGGTTAAGGGTAGGGTTAGAGGTAGGGGTAGGGCTAGGGTTAGATGTAGGGTTAGGGAAGGGTTAGGGTAGGGTTAGAGGTAGGGTTAGGGGTAGGTTTAGAGATAGGGGTAGGGGTAGGGGTAGGGTTAGGGGTAGGGTTAGGAATAGGGTTAGGGTTACCATACCCCCTACCCTAACCCTAACCCTACTCCAACCACTAACCCTAACCCTACCCCAACCACTAATCCACCCTCTAGCCCTACCCCAACCCCTAACCGCAACCCCTAACTGCAACCCCTAACCGCAACCCTCTGCTGTTTTGCCATTTTTCAAAAATCCAAAGCACTTCAGCACTTCTGAAATTCTGAAATTCGGCACTTCGGTTTGGTTCGGCTTTCTGAAATTTGGAACTTCGGCACTTCGGCAATTCGGTTCAGCATTCCAAAATCCGACACTTTGGAAATTCGGCACTTCGGACATTCGGAAGCATCCAAATGTCCGAATTTCCGAAATTCGTCCGAATGTGCATTTGGAACTAAACGAATTGCACATGGCTAGAGTTAAGTCACTTTGTTTATACAGCCTGAGGCACTCATAGAAACATAGAATGTGACAGATAAGAACCATTTGGCCCATCTAGTATGCCCAATTTTCTAAATACTTTCATTAGTCCCTGTCCTTATCTTATAGTTAGGATAGCCTTATGCCTATCCCACGCATGCTTAAACTCCCTCACTGTGTTAACCTCTACCACTTCAGCTGGAAGGCTATTCCATGCATCCACTACCCTCTCAGTAAAGTAATACTTCCTGATATTATTTTTAAACCTTTGTCCCCCTAATTTAAGACGATGTCCTCTTGTTGTGGTAGTTTTTCTTCTTTTAAATATAGTCTCCTCCTTTACTGTGTTGATTCCCTTTATGTATTTAAATGTTTCTATCATATCCCCCCTGTCTCGTCTTTCCTCCAAGCTATACATGTTAAGATCCTTTAACCTTTCCTGATAAGTTTTATCCTGCAATCCATGAACCAGTTTAGTAGCCCTTCTTTGAACTCTCTCTAAGATATCCCTGCATGTGACTTACACAACCTTCCTAAACACTTCCTGCAAAGAATCATCAATGTTTACACTTACTTTACTGCAAATTCTGTTTAATTGAGAAGTTCTTATTTCATGATCTGTTAATATCCTTCTAGATCCTGCAGGTGTCTTGTGAGTGAATAAAGTTCAATTTGCAGAGCAGGAAATATTTTTTTGTTAAAGTAAGTAACATCTAATTGAAAATCAAACCATTTTTTTTTTCATACAGACTGTGTCAGTCAAAGCCAGGGGAGGTGTGGCTAGGCCTGGATAAACAGAAACAAAAGTGACTTAACTCCTAAATGACAGTGAATTGAGCAGTGAGACTTCAGGGGCATGATCTATACACCAAAACAGCTTCATGCAACTAAAGTTGTTTTGGTTGCTATAGTGTCCCTTTAAAGGAAAGAAAATCCTGTAAAGGTTGTTAAAGGTCTTCACAGTATAACTAAATGCTTGGCTACAGAGATAAAATGTCTTTACTGAAAGCAGGGGTCCTCAGACTCCGGCCCCCCAGATGTTGCTGAACTACAACTCACATGATTCTCTGGCTATCTATGTAATTCAAAGAATCATGGGAGTTGTAGTTCAACAACATCTGGGGGGCCGGAGTTTGAGGACCCCTGACCTAAAGAGTGACAAAGTAACTCCACAGAGACAGAACAGGATTACAGTAGCAACTATATTGCAAAAATAATTGAAGATGTAATCCTTCTGATGTTGTGGATAAAGGTTTGTTGATTGTGTAGAGTAGGGGTAAGCAACCTTCGGCACTCCAGATGTTGTGGACTACATCTCCCACAATGCTCTTACAGCCATAGTGCTGGCAAAGCATCATGGAAGGTGTAGTCCAAAACATCTGAAGTGCAGAATGTTGCCTATCCTTGGTGTAGAGTAATGATTTACACATAGTGGTATGTGACTTACTAGCAAAAAATAAAGTATAATTTCCTCTAGTTATACCCTATGGAGATAACTCTATATAAATGTGATCTCAGGATGTACAAGAAATCATAACAGAGAAAACTAGTTGGCTGTAGTTAATTACAACCTGATTTTGAGATCAGCACTAAAAGCCTATTATGAATATCCTGAAGTACAGACCACTGTATATAGACTAACACAAACTCCAGCTACACAGTATAAATTAGCAAGGAAGTAAAAATAATTGTAATGAACCCATCACAGAATAAGTGTTAAGAGGCAAACTCAAACATAGCAGTATATAAGGCAGTGATCTGCTAGAATGCTAATTGGTCAGTTACAGTGATATCACACTCAGTACTGGCTAGCACTGCTGACCCCATATAACCGCATTATAGAAACTTTCCCATGCAGTGCTAGTGAAATTTAAAACAAAAAAAACAGAAAGAATGATGCTCGTTTCATCAGGCTCTATACACACTAAAAAGTGTGACCGATTAGCAGTGTGATAGCAATTTCATATACACCCCCCGCTTCACGTGTATATTTTCCCATATGTCACGTTTCCCACTTGTCACTTATTTTTTTTTTTGCTTTTACTGACGTTTATAACTGAAATAATAAATAAAAGTTATGTTTTTTATGGCATTTTTTTTTTTTTAAGTTTTGAACTCCTTTTTGTAAATGTATACACTACACTTAACAGTCAGGGATCCCAACACCCATAATGATTTTATTGAGGTGAGTTACATAGTTACATAGTTACATAGCTGAAAAGAGACTTGCGTCTATCAAGTTCAGCCTTCCTCACAAATGTTGTTGCTGTTGATCCAAAAGAAGGCAAAAAACCTGGTCTGAAGCGCTTCCAATTTTGCCACAAATTCCTTCTTGACCCCAAAATAGCAGTCAGATGTCTCCTTGGATCAAGCAGCTATTACCCCACTAATTAGAAATTATATCCCTGTATGTTATGCTTTTGTAAGTATTTATCCAATTTCAGTTTAAGCATCTGTATGGACTCTGACAAAACCACCTCTTCAGGCAGAGTATTCCATATCCTTATTGTTCTTACTGTAAAAAAAACCTTTTCTTTGCCTTAGATGAAATCTCCTTTCTTCCAGCCTAAATGTGTCCTATGTGTCCTATGTATAGCCCTGTTTATGAATAGATTTCCAGATAAAGGTTTGTACTGGCCCCGAATATATTTGTATAAAGTTATCATATCCCCTCTCAGGCGCCATTTTTCCAAACTAAACAGATTTAATTTTTTATATAAAATACAACATGTGGAGAGACACTTAGTATAATTGCTACCACAATTATGGGTGCTATTCCAAAAAGGTACTCCCTTCAATACCAATATAGTAAATATTCAAAAAGAAAGGAATGCACACCAACTAATACAATAATGTATGGGAAACACAGAGAAAAGTGTGGAAATAGGTGGCGCTTATACGTATAGTATAGATATCAAGAAGCTGCTATAAAACACTCATGAGGGTACTCCAAAAACCACTCTCCACATGCAAAAGACAAACAAAAACCTCAAATGGGTCAGTGTCACCACCTTCCCACTGTTGGTAAGAGTGTAGCGCTAGATAAGTATATGTTTACAGTGCTCAAAAATACAGATATACACTTACCACTCAGGGTAATACCATAAAGTTAGACATATAAAAGGAAAAAAAGGAGAGAGAACATACATAGAGTAATAACGTTGGACCAATGTATCAGTGAATTCAATTATATATAAGTAAACTCACATTTGTTAGAGCCTTTTATATGGATATAGGCTCTAAACACTCAGATATCCGTGCCTTTAAGGTCGGCAACAAAACCGTGTTAGCTTCTGCTTCTTGTTTTTTCTTCTTTCCTTCCCTTCTTTCAATTTGGGGTAAAAACTCCAAGAGAGAAGAAAAAGTAGACTTCTGGGTGCAGATTATTTAACTTTTTATGTAAAGCAATATCTCTTTAAGAAAAACTGCTCACCTTTTTCAGAGCCTTTTTTACTGGCTCTAAGTATAAACAGCATATGTGTCCAATATATAGGGTGACACTCCCTTTAGCCGGATTCAGAGATTCAGGATAGAGGTAAGTATATTCAAACACAAAATTTATTATATAAAAAAATTTGATTAAAATTGAAAGTAATTAAAATATCAAATAGTAATAAGAAAATATGAATAAATACAGTATGTGCTGAAGTCCTTCCTCTCCTGTTCCACCAATTCAGAGATTCAGGATAGAGGTAAGTACAGGTGGAACAGGAGAGGAAGGACTTCAATTTTGAATTACTTTCAATTTTAATCAAATTTTTTTATATAATAAATTTTGTGTTTGAATATACTTACCTCTATCCTGAATCTCTGAATCCGGCTAAAGGGAGTGTCACCCTATATATTGGACACATATGCTGTTTATACTTAGAGCCAGTAAAAAAGGCTCTGAAAAAGGTGAGCAGTTTTTCTTAAAGAGATATTGCTTTACATAAAAAGTTAAATAATCTGCACCCAGAAGTCTACTTTTTCTTCTCTCTTGGAGTTTTTACCCCAAATTGAAAGAAGGGAAGGAAAGAAGAAAAAACAAGAAGCAGAAGCTAACACGGTTTTGTTGCCGACCTTAAAGGCACGGATATCTGAGTGTTTAGAGCCTATATCCATATAAAAGGCTCTAACAAATGTGAGTTTACTTATATATAATTGAATTCACTGATACATTGGTCCAACGTTATTACTCTATGTATGTTCTCTCTCCTTTTTTTCCTTTTATATGTCTAACTTTATGGTATTACCCTGAGTGGTAAGTGTATATCTGTATTTTTGAGCACTGTAAACATATACTTATCTAGCGCTACACTCTTACCAACAGTGGGAAGGTGGTGACACTGACCCATTTGAGGTTTTTGTTTGTGTAATACAATAATGTATATCTATATATATTTTATTACAATTCAAATCCAAATCTCACATAAAAAATGTAACAGTGACCAAATAGGCAAAAAAGTTTAACAATATAGTTACCAAAATTCCACAAGCCTATATGGGCAGAAACACGAGTCACAAATAATCCCCCAACGTTTCGGCTCCTCCTGGTAGCCTTTATCAAGGGTAGCTATATCACAACATCATCCAGGAAACTATTATATACACATAAACAAACTACTTACAGCTGATGGCCATCAGTGATATCACAGAGAGCCGTGACCGGAAGTGACATCATCACCTCAGATCGTAGCCCTATATGTAAAGCATAATAGCAATAAATACATTACACATTCACAATATTATTGTCAGACAAATTCCATCATATGTATAAGAGTATCCTGCTATCATATAATCCATAACTATCCTCATCAGCCTAAATATGAACACGCATGCGCAATGCAACAGTAAATATAAGCGGTCGCCATATCATCTACTGGCACCTATCTATCACCGCACTCAATACACCCCAGCAAGGAAATATATCCCTTAATAGGCAACCCAATAAACATACTAGGCATCACAAAAATATGTGTGCAATAACTCAGCAGAAAAAACGAAAACGCACTTGTCTTACCACAACCGGCTGATCTCACTCCAGCCCCCCTCTAACGGAAGCCTCCGAGGTCCACACCTAATAAAAAATCGCAGCAAACAAAGAGCTAAACCGCCCGCGCATGCGCTTCCCCCAAAATAGAACGATACATACAACATGCTAGCGCTCCGATCAAATCTTAAAGGGGAATGACATAAATGCATAAATAACTTATGATATGTCATAATATGTGTATAAGTAGTCCCATAGTATAGCAAAAATCTATAAAAAATAAATATTAACAGTGAAAATCACCTCCACCATAATTACAAAACACCAATAGAATGTGCAATACTATACTAATCCCATGTTTATTCATCTATGTCATATATACAAGACATACATTCAGCAACCTGCTGAACGATCAGGTCATTCCCAAAAAGGAAACTCAATACAAAAAATCCATATATCATATACAATAGACAGTCATATGTATTTCTTATATATGTGATTAAAATATTTTATTTTATACCCTTATATCAATATCAATTCACCCTATTAGTTATACAACTTTTTAGTAACATTTATATAAAACTTCTTCAAATGATAACAGGTATTCATTCACAATCATATACATATCAAAATCAATCAAAGATAAGGAGGTATCCAATAGATCAAATCGTCGTCATCCAATCGCAGATCCGATAAATGATTCCAAATCCAGGTTGTATCCATCCACATTGTTGAACGTACCAATGGGACCCAATATCCCCCCCAAAAAAGGGAATACACTCCATCCTTGATCTAGTACACACTATCATCCAGGTACCCAATGTATTAAGTATCCAAATGGAAATCCATACGCGATCTAGATAAAATAAACACCAATTAAAAACAATATCAATGATATCAACACAACTCAGGCAGGGTGGATAAGCCAGCCTCTCCAAACGAGGCTACAATAAAGGAGAGAGATCCCGTTCTTCATTAAGACCCTTAGGGAATAGAACCTGCAACTCATAAATCCAAAATAATTCACGTTGCTTCACCAACGTTTCCCTAGATCCACCTCTTCTCAAAGGTTTCACTACCTCTAGAATCGAGTATCTTAATTGTGACACCATGTGTCGCATCTCCACAAAATGTCTAGCCACTGGATATTGGATCTTTCCAGTCCGAATGCTACTCTTATGTTCCCCTATCCTAATGGTGAATTTCCTCGTGGTCTCCCCAACATAGGCTAAGCCACAAGGACATTTCAACATGTAGACTACAAATTCTGATTGACAATTGCAAAAATCCCGAATAGGATATTTCTTCCCAGATCTAGGATGGAGAAAGGAATCGCCCAGAATTACCCCATTACAATTCACACAATGTCCACATTTGTACATACCAACAGGCATTCTAAGCCACGATTCCTTAATCCCCATCTTTCCTTGTACTTCCACATTCCGCATTAAATGATCGCGAAGATTTCGGTGTCTTTTGAAAGAAAACAAAGGTTTCTCATTAAAACAAACCCTAACTTTGGGATCCGATTGTAATATATTCCAGTGCTGGTTCACAATATGTTTAATCTCCTTCGAATGTTCAGAATAGGTGGTAACACATGGGATCCTCATGTTCCTATCCCTAACTCTTTTAGTTAGAAGTTGTTCTCTTGCCAACAATCTAGCCTGATCCTTACATTCCATCAAATTCTTCTTCTCATATCCCCTTAAAGTAAACGCCTGCACTAATTCATCTGCACGTCTATCATAATCTGTGTCCCGTGATGTAATTCGTCGGGTTCTAATAAATTGTCCATATGGTAATTTTTGCAAAAATTGTGGCGGATGAAAGCTATCAGCATGTAAGTATGATGCATCCTCAAATGCTGCCATAAATATATTGGCATATGTGGGGGCCACATTGGACCCCATCGCAGTACCCTGTATCTGCAAGTAAAACTTGCCTTCAAATGTGAAATAATTCTTATGCAATACCAGTGTCAATAACTCCAACAAAAAGTCTCTATATGCTTCACTGATTTCCAGTGCTTGCATCGCTCCAAATACTGCCTCAATGCCTTCCTCATGTGGGATAGACGTGTAGAGACTATTAATGTCCATAGTGCATAATAACGCTCCTTCAGGAATAATACTAACACGTTCTAGTTTCTTAATGAAATCTGTCGTGTCCTGCACAAATGAACGCATATTGGAGACCAAAGATTGCAAATGTATATCAACAAATTTGGATAGTGGTTGTAAAACCGATCCACATCCTGACACTATAGGACGACCAGGTGGATATCTCAAATTCTTATGTATCTTCGGGAGCAGGTAAATAAAGGGGATCTTTGGGTGATCCGTATTCAAAAAATTATAATCCCTTTTCTCAATTAGCTCCTTCTCTAAAGCCACACCCGTAATTACCTTAATTCGTTCCTTTAACTCACCTGTAGGATCATGCTCCAAGATTCTGTAATGGCTTTCATTAGTCAGTTGGCGATTCATCTCAGCAACATATTCACTCGTGTTCATCACTACCAATGCTCCTCCCTTGTCAGCAGGTCTAATAGAAACGGTAGTGTCTTTTCTTAGTCCCATAAGTGTAACATATTCATGTCTACTCAAATTCGACCTTCCCTTCTTTTTCCAATTAATTTTATCCATGTCCATCTGACATAATTTAATGAATGTTTCAACACTCGCATTGATGGAAGGAGGAAGGAACGTGCTCTTAGGTTTACACTTGTGCCTGTCAAATTTAGAAGACTCAGCCATCGTAACCCCTTCTTGAACTATAGGGTTATCCTGTAACTGAAAAAAACTTTTTAAACGTATAGTCCGAAAAAAACGTTCCATCTCTATATCCATAGTGAGCTTATCACCACTAAAAGTGGGTACAAACCCAAAACCCTTTTCCAAGAGACTCACCTCGGCTTGAGATAAAACTCTATCAGAAATATTCACTACCAATGTTTCCGCTGCTGTCTCATGCGCCCCGGATATCTCCTCTTGGGCTAGGTCACAGTTGGAACCAATCCAATTTAATTTTTTAACCTTTCTTCATAACTAAAATGCTCCATTCCTTTTATCAATTTTGTAGCTCGTCTCTGGACCCTCTCCAGTGCCATGATATCCTTCTTTAGAACAGGTGCCCAAAATTGCACAGCATATTCAAGGTGTGGTCTTACCAGCGATTTATAAAGAGGCAGAATTATATTTTCATCTCGAGAATTTATGCCCCTATTTATACATGACAAAATCTTACTGGCCTTAGCAACTGCAGATTGACATTGCATATTGCTGCCCAATTTGTTGTCTATAACAATTCCTAAATCCTTCTCATGTGTGGTTATCCCTAATTCACTTCCATTTAGTGTGTAAGTTGCTTGTGCATTCTTAACCCCGAAGTGCATAACTTTGCATTTCTCTATGTTAAATTTCAACTGCCATTTTAGTGCCCAGTCCCCCAATCTATCCAAATCTCTCTGCAGCAAAGCAATATCCTGCTCACATTTTATTACTTTACAAAGTTTTGTGTCATCTGCAAACACTGTCACATGGCTTTCAATGTCTATTTCAAGATCATTTATAAATATGTTAAATAGAAGTGGTCCCAAAACAGAACCCTGAGGGACACCACTTACAGTTGGTTATGGGGGCTGAATTGGAGGGTTTCTTTAAAAAAGCTATATAAAAATATATTGTTTTTCTTACATTATCCAAGAGAAGCAAACATTCCTTATTGCAATGAATTACATTTTTGACTGCAAGGATAGATCATTCCTTTTTTTGATCTCACAACCCTCGAGCCTCTTTTTCTATGAAAACAGAGTTAACACGTTGCCTTCTCATAAGCATTGCCCTGATATATTTGACAATACATGAAAATGGTCCATTTAATAATATACTTTTGAGACGGACCCCTTGAGCTATGTCAAACGTAATTAACATTTTGAAACAGGGCATCATCATAAACTGCTAATTAAATATAAGGAAAAAAAAAAGACAGAAAAAAAGTACCTGCATTGGCTATATAAAGGAATATATTTTGATTTGCAAAATGAGACGAATGACCAAGAACAAAAAAATATACAGAAATATATAGATTTATTGAAAATATTACAGCCGAGGGAACAGAATAATTTTTCTCGCCTTTATTTTATGTCACTTCATAAGAAAAATAAAATGAAGTTTCTGTGCTTTGAGTCTATAAAATCTCAGCATTTTGGCTTAGTCAGAATGTGATTCTCATCATGTGGAACTAATTGTAATTGTAGAATTCTATGGTACTATTTTATGCGCTGCACATTTCCCTTGTTATTTGTTTACATGCTTTCCACATGTTTTATTTATATATTTATTGTTTGCCTTGTGCTAAAATTCAAACAGAATTAATCATCTTAGCCCTTAAGGACCAAATGCTACACTAGGTGGCCATCACATCCATGCACTCTATACCCTATGCCAAAACGGAATGTACGATAGCTTTTGTATCTCTATATAATCCTACAAAATGCAATAAACTGGGCGATTCCATTTTTGGAATAGAATTCTCAAACAATAAGTTATTTTGATGGCATAGACCGTCTTTGGTCCATGAGTCAAAGATGCAGCTCTCAATATGCAGGGCAATAGAAGAACTCAGTTTAAATGTTTTAAATCAATCTCTATTGGTGACGTAAAAGGAACATTGTTTTTTTCCTGTGTAGGGGATAAAAGTGAATATCATTCAACATAGAACATATGAATATGCCATAAGGCGACGTAGAAACATGGTGAATGAGGCAGCAACAATTGACGCCACTTGATGCTGAGAATGGGTAGTGGAGTAGGGCAGAGTATACAATTGAGTCTTAGTATATTCAGGAATTCCATTGTGGAGTATGAGATAGACCCCTCCTAACCGGGTAGTCATGTCTGTAGTCTCTGTCACCTTTGGACACCCTCGGTCCTGGCCTTCTGTGAAAAAGATCTAAGATGTACGCAATAAACCACTGTCAATCTGAGTATGGCATTTAAGGTATGCATATAACTTACACAATTGACTGTTTTGAGATCTCCAACATTAATTTATACAAGGGAGTTCACCTTCTATAATCATTGCTAGATTAAACCAACATGAGAGCTTTAAAAAAGATCACCCCTCAGATCAATAATTTCTTTATTCCATTAGACACTGATATATAATGATTTAAGACAGAGGTAGACAACCTTCAGCACTCCAGATGTTGTGGACTACATCTCGCCTGATACCTTGCCAGCATTATGACTGTAAGAGCATTATGGGATATATAGTCCACAATATCTGGAGTGCCGACTGTTACCTATCCTTGCTTTAGCATTCAAATAGTTGGTAATACATAAAAAAATGAAAACCCCCCCACTGGAGGACTCAAGAAGTGATATACTTGGTGGGGAGCATACCACCTACGCCTACATATATTGAGCAATATCCCATTTGGTCTTCACTTGTGAGTATACCTCCATCTTTTATCATTTTATTCTGTATCATCCAGAGAGAACTATTTTGTGTTTCTATCCTCTTTTTTATATATCACCAACTATTTGAATACTGGCCCACTGCTATTGGAAAGGAGATATACCCTACTACTTCTGGAGACCCCCTTTTGAGGACATCCAAGTACCATCTACATATCCATAGACGGGGATTATACCATCCAGGCCCACACATCTGGAGCTGAGTATAAGCTCCAGAAAATTGTAAGTGCAATTCCTTTCCCTTCATTTATTATCACTTAAGATCCTAACATACTACACTATATCCGTGTCTTTTTCCTTCCCTCCTCCATATCGCTTTGAGCATGGGAATTCCATCACAGGCACTGCTATCTGATCCTACTATTTATTTCCTTTGTTTCTATTTTACTTTTATCTCTTTGAGCACATTATCTATTGTCATAACATATATGGAGATGTAGTTCTTGATTAAACCTGTGTAAACCACTACCAATCACCTATAAAACATGATAACCTGATTTACACAATCTAGAATGAATTAACCAACAGGTGAGTTGTGGGTCTATGGCGTTATTGATAGAAGGACTATGATTTCTGCTCTAGAAGAAGTCTGCCTTGGAAGACATGGACTGGGCATGAGTCAGACCTGTTGGCCAGCTACAAAGAATTCCATCTGCAATTGGTTTTCCAGGTTCTTAGACCATTAGTGATCGCTAATTTTGGCTAACACTAACCCGTTTAATTAAAACTCAAGTATTTGGGCATTAGTTGAGTCTGACAATTTAAAATTTATTAATGTATTTTCATTTCTTTCATTATTTATATATTTTTACATGAAGAACACAATGAGAAAATTATCATGAGTTCAAGTAACTTTTAATAATTATGTTGCTTTCTAAAAAAATAAATAATGATAGTTATTTAAAATAATCTGCAATGTGTGCCATTTTACAACACATAAAATAGTGACAAGCCTTCCCTGCCAAGAATAGGATTTATCCTGCTGCAAATGTGACATGATGGAGGCTTTTCTTTGTGATAAAGATAAATACTTGACACAGACCTGCGATGATCAACTGACTTCGAAAATGTATTATTTAGTATTTACCTGGGACATCTGCTGCAGACTGAGCACATGCTCTTGCTGTACAGCTTACTGCTGCACAAATAAGTCTACAGTACTTGCTATTGCTGACAAAGTGGCCGTCTTTTACCCCTGTCCTGTATTTACAATCTGCTTATGTTAAGTAAGGATCTAGATGTGTGCTACCATCTGTGAAGATATGGTATCCACGGCTTCTCTAAAAATCTCACTGTAATGATATGTCAGAGAGAGTGCTACAATACACAGACAGGCTTCTACATTCCGCAGGAGGTGGGGTGGATTGCGGATCATATTGCTTAATAGGGACATGGGTAGAGGTCATTTTAATGGACTAGATAAACCTCAAGGAAGGACAATTAAAAGAACAACTATGGAGTAGTAATAATAATATTTAGTACGTATCATTTTTTTTCAAGATATTCACATAAACTCGCAAAGAAAGCATGCAGAAAGAAACACATGAGAATATATCTACTAAATTTAAAAAACAAAAACAAAAAAACAAGCAAAAAACAAGACAATTTTCAATGAAATGTTCATTTAATTTTAATGTTTTGAGTCTTAGTTGCAAGTGTGAGTGTTAAAAACCAAATTAAAATTATTAATAGGTTCCAAACCTTTTACAAAACCCAAAACATGAGTGTTTGTCAGAATCCCATCTTTCAGGAAACAGTAGACAGTAGAAAGTTGTCTCTACAAATGATATAAACTGTTCATTTCTCTGTGTGGTTATAGTACAGGAGTCAAAGAGCCACACTACTTAGAATATGATAGTGACATATTTCCTGTCATTTATCACCAGAATGGCTATTTATCTCCATCAGCGGTAAATGACCATAGGGTCAGAAATAACCCACACCAAGAAAAGAACAAACTTTCTATTCTGGCAGCTGGTCTATTAACAAACAGCTGACACGGACCAAACTGAAGGACACTATGCAGTTAATAATCACGGTCTCTCCATCTCT